ACAGTCTGTAGAAATGTCGGACAAATTACTACAAAAGAGTCGGATGCGTGCCTGAAATTAAGATTTTATCATTTAATTATAGACATAGATAAAAGAATATCGGACATGTGTCTGAGAGTGTCCACGGATACGTCGCCTTCTAGAGAGTGTTCGTGCTTCATAATTCAACACTATATTCACAACATACTCACCTCTAACATTTGTTTTTCACCTCAATCTTTATTTTCCTCAATTACGCCATCTCCTATTATTCACATATATTCTCGCAAAAACAAGACTAACTCTTCCGTAGGTACAACGCCTTTACCTCTTTCAATTGTGTCTCCACATGTTTCTGATGATATAGGCAAGGATCAAAATGTCGCGTCGACACGTGAATTTCAACACTCCGAAACGAAACAGTAGTTGAATCACAAAATTTCAGTGTTTCGGTCGAAACGGTACTGTTTCGGACCGTTCGGTCGAAACGGCATTGTTTCGGACCGTTTCGACGAAACAGTGATATATTCGGTTCATTATGAATAATTACATTTAATACCCTATTATAATTACATTTTAATACCCACTATAATTACATTTAATACCCACTATAATTATATTTAATATCCCACTATAATTACATTTAATTCCCACTGCTCTTATGTCTTTTATAATTTTTTTGTTATAAGAATAAATAATTACACTTAATACTCTACTATAATTATATTTAATACCCATTATAATTATATTTAATACATACTGTAATTATATTTAATACCTCACTGTTGTGCAAGTCTTTTGCTTTTTTTTTTTTGTAATTACATTTAATACCCACTGGAATTACATTTAACTTTTAAGTATACATAAGTACCATTAATTTAATTTGATACCCTTCATTATTAGTATTATAATAAAATAGTATTATTAATTGGATAATATTATCGTAATAATATGATTTGGAGTAACTATTGTCATCATATTTATGTCGCATATGGAGTTTCTCTAAGTAGCTACCCAGAGCCTACACCGATGTATGAGCCTGCTCGACACTCCACAGGGGGATGGATGTAGCCATGTAAGTATGTACTCATTAGCATTTCATGTGTATTATAAGATCTTAATATTATGTAACAATGTGTTTATTTCATAAAAATTAAGTGTTTGAAACTAATTTAAGTGACTTTCTCCTCATGTCAAGCCTTTTTTCCCCTCAAATTTACATTTATTCTTGTATAAATTGATGTTAACCTAATAAATATGTTGAATTAATCAATTATTTAGCATATCTTTATAAATTAATGGATTGTATTTGTGTTTTTATGCGTTTCCATATTTTTTCTGCATTTTCATTGCGTTTCCAAAATATTTCCGAAACGTTTCTATTTTTGAGTTGACCGAAACGGTACTTCAAAATAAAATTTTGATCCTTGGATATAGGTACTCCCTTTTCTCACTTTCCTTCTTGATGCCTTTGTTTTTTTCACACTTGTTATTGCTCTGATTTTTGTTTATGTTTATCTTCTATTCACTCTATGTCTAAGCCTACCCCTCTATAAGGAGGCTACTCTTGATCCTATTTGGCAACATGCTATGATGAAGAATTTCCACACTACATAAAAATAGGCCATGAAATCTTGTGCCGAAGGAACAAAATTTTGTTTTAGTGCATTGTTTTGATCACCTAAGAAACGAAAATGCTTCAACCTGTTTCAATAACATAATGAAAAAAATTAAAAAATTAAAAAAATTAAGAATTATTTTTTCAAAACATTAGTCAAAAAATACTAAAATATCTTGAAATATTTTGAAACATTCTGAAATAATTGTGCAAATGCATTGAAATATAACAAAATATTTTGAAACATTATGGAACACCTCAAAGTATTAAAATTTTAATTTTATCACTAATTCATTTTGGTCTCCTTAGAAACGGAAACGTTTCGGACGTTTCAACCATAGTTATTAGTATCGTACGTTACACGATACGTATCGTATACCTTAAAAACGATACGTATCGTGTTTCTATATCGTTTTTGCACCGTATTGTACGATACACGATATGATATGTACAATACGATACGTGACAATTCTTTTTTTTATTTTTTTTTAGTTTTTTGAAAATGAAATGATATCGTTTTACCTTAAAACTTATTTTTAAATCACTAACCAGTGAAACAACGTCGTTTCAATAGTTATAGTTTAAAAAATAAAAATAAAATCTGTTGTTAATGTTATTTAATTAAATTCAAAATTTCTGATAAATATTAAGTTTGTTTAAGTATTTGATGTTAAAAGTTTGAATTAGAGGTCTTTGCATTTTAATATTACTGAATTATATTGAGAATTTGAATAGTTGATAAACTATTAATGAAATGCTATGTTATAAATATATATATGTATATAGATACATATATATATTATTAATAATTATATAAAAATTAAAATTACACGTATCTTATGATACACGATACGATACACTATTTTTGAAAAATGATACGTCTTCTGATACGCGATTTGACAACTATAGTTTCGACCATTTTAAAACGATATTTTGGCCCTTACTTGTGCCTTTACCCACCAATAAGCGTGTTATTGGTTTGAATAGTTGGTAGACTATTAATGAAATCCTATGTTATTATGAGCCTATGACTTTTTTACAAAGGTATATATATATATATATATACACACACACACACATATATATATATTATTAATAATTATATAAAAATTAAAATTACGCGTATCTTATGATACACGTTATGAAACACTATTTTTGAAAAACGATACGTTTTTCGATACGCGATTTAACAACTATGGTTTCGAACTTTTTGAAACGATATATTGATCCTTAGTTGTGTCTTTACCCACCGGCAAGTGTGTTATTGGTTATCGATAGGTATATAAGATTAAAAATAAGGCTGATGGTTATTGTAAAAGATATAAGGTTAGATTGGCTACCAAGGGTTTTGCACTGAAATATAACATTGATTAAGAAGAGACATTTGCTCCTATTGCAAAGATGACCACCGTTCTTCCATTGATTCCTGTAGCAGTCGTTTGCCAATGGAACTATCCAAATGGATGCAAGAATGCTTTTCTAAACGGTGATTTAACTAAAGAGATTTTATAGCTCCTCCCTGGTCTCCCTCATGCTCGTGGTGAGGTATGCAAACTTATAAAAACTTGTTATAATCTCAAACAGGCTCCTTGAGCATGGTTTGAGAAGTTTTCTATTATGATCTAGATGTTTTCTATTGTGATATGTGATTTGGATTTTTGTTCCAATGATTATGAGTTTGCTCTTCTTTTTTGTTCCAATTTCAAAAATTATATTTACCCTTCTCTTATATGTTAATGATATGATTATTATTAGGGATAATTATTAAAGTATCTCAGTTTTGAAGGCTTATTTACAACAAGAGTTTGAGACGAATGATTTTGGTATCCTTCATTATTTCCTTGGCATTAAACTAGCTCTGTTACCTAAGAACTAAGAAGCACGAACATCGACACGGGACACACATACGACACGATAGGACACAACACGGACATGTAGACATAATATTTCTCAAAAAAGTAGGGCACGGACATGTTAGGGACACGTCATCAATTTTTTATAGACATGTATCCAACATATATAGTTTAAATGATTGCTCTCATTTTTTCAACTCATCCTTTTAAAACATTTATGCATCTTTTACTTTTATTGACATGTTTTGAGTACAAAATTAATATGTATAGTCTTGATAATTATATATTTTCTTACAATATAAGACACTTACTAGTCAATTTTTTAAACTTTTTTAATCATTTATGAACACGTGTTTATTGTTTAATAGTGGACATAGTCCAAAGAAATGTCAGACACGCGTCTGAAATTAATATTTTATTATTTAATTATAGAGACGGATAAAAGAGTATTTGACACAAGTTTGAGGAGCGTTGGTGCTCGACACAGATATATCACCTTCTTGTACTTTGAAAACAAGAATGTCATTCAGATTGCACACAATTCTATTTCCAATAAGGGATCCAAGTATATCAAGATTGACTATTACCATCTTCAACTTGGAACTATTTATTTGTTTTTGTTTCTTCTACTATGCAATTAACCGACATTTTCACGAAGTCTTACAATAAGCTACATTTTCATTTTCTTCTTAGCAAAACTCTCAATACTTTCTAGTGTCCATGAGTTTAAGAAGGGGTGTTAAAAAATTTTTTTGTATTTATATCAATTTATCATTAGGGGCACCATAGTCCTTCTCTTGTAGTAGATTTATATATGTCAGCTCGTTTTTATGATCATAGAATAATAGAGTTGCAGACTTCTTTTCTCTTTCTATTCTTCTATGTATGTAGTTTCTTCAATGCTTATATGCAAGCTTGGTCTAAGTTTTTGGCTATAAGTTGCCCAGAAATAAAATACATGAAAAAAAATTACATGCTAGTTGCAGCAAATCTGAGAATACCAAAACACCTTTTCCTCCAAAAGCACAAGGAAACACACAAAACAGCACCGGAAACTTGATTACACCGAGTCCAAAGTGTGCACTATATAAATTTTTTAATGGTTCTAGTTAATAGTGTGCACTCCGGTTCATAATGCATTTGTACCAAATCGTTGTCTTAAGAACCAAGGACTATGTCCAATTATTCGACATAATCCAATCTGACTCTTACCAGAAGACTGAAAAAAATGGTAAAGTTTTATATAACTTGATAATGTATACATGATGCTTTCAGTTACCAAGTGCTTAGTGTGCACAAAACCATACTTCTACTTTGAGAAATGTCATTCACATTGCAACAATTGTAATATAGAAAAGATTACACACACACATACACACAGAGTGAAAAGCTCAGTGACAACCTTGATTCAGTTTCTAACTTGCATTCACTTTTATACTGGTCAGATGCAATGACATCAATCATCAAGAAATACCTTAGGTAGGAACAATACTGTCTAGGCAAAATAAAATTAATATCTGGAAAATGTAAGTTACGACTCGTTTTATCATTCAGACCTTGTTACGATTCAATATCATGGATTTATCCATAGCCTTCATAGCATACAGTTCACCTGTACCTTTCAGTTCCACCAGATGAACACTGCAGCCAATGACAACAATTTGAGCACATAAAAGTGAACCAAGTTCCTCAAAATAAAAGAAATCGTCAACACTTAAAAAATATATCATGCTTCTCTGATGGAATTTGTCAATACTGGGTTTTGTTGCACGACAAAGCCACCGTCAGATGCATTTAGCAGCAGTGTGTAAAGTTCAAAGTTAAAACAGATTAACTAATAGAAGCATATGACAAACGGAACAAGTGGCTAATTTATCTGTTTCACAACCTAAAAGATTGGATCATATGACAATCATACTGCACGAAGACTAACTTGTTTCCAACAGCACTGCTCCTCCCTACCCTTCTTTTTTCCAACAGCACTGCTGAATATGCATTTCCAACTGATTGTGTTCGGTTAACCAGTTACAAATGCCAAAAAAAAAAAAAAAAGAATTCTGATATTTTATTAATCTTTGTGTCAGATAGTTCCGTTTCTTCTATTGAAAACCATACTAGTACCTTCATAGCTCTAACTATCCGTTTATTTCTCTTTCACCTCAAAATGCCATTCTAATTTTATTTCTTCATTACTAGTCACACATCTCTCATTCTCCAAATTAAATTCCTTCAATTTCGATTCAACCTTTGTGGTTAAAAGATGGTTATTAAATTGCTTCAAGATCTAAGTTGATAATCAACTTCTGTTTCATCCTATTTCACTAACCACTTCATCTTAAGTACATCATCCCTATGAGATAATCTTTTGGCCCCTCACGCCTGTCTTCATTTCAAATGTCTAATATACCTCTCTACATATTAGTTTCTATATCACACGACATCTCTTCCAGTAGCATTTGAATAGATAATTTTCAAAGCTTATATTTTCCATGCCTTTCACTCAACCATCACCCTTTTAACCAAGTCTTTTTTCCTTTTGGCCACAACTGTTTTAGGGCTATTTAACTTCTCTTTTGCCCAAGCATGCATATTTTGGTTAAGTCCTCAACCTCTCATGCTTCATCAATTGCTCTGTAATTGGTTTTGGAGCTTACTAGAATCCATTTCATTTAATCCCCTGTTCATCTTGATCTTTATTTTTTGTTTTTGATGTGAAATACAGCACCTTAAAGAAGTCCTCATCAACCGAGGCATAGAACAATGAAGGAGCTGCCTGGGATGTTGAAGAGATAAAAACAGCAGCATAACACTTAAAACTCAACTCAACTCAACTAAGTCTGGTCCCAACATCTTTGTGGTCGGCTACACCAATCATTTTTCGCCATTATGCTCTATCAAGCATAATTTTTGTTAGACCAGCAACATAACATGTGCACTGGATTAATTTCCATTGACTAGATTCGAGACAAAGAAAATCTCCTCACAAGGGATAAATAGAAAATCCTAGCACACTAATGATTATGCCGATGCAATAATACGGCAAGCCTTAAAGTGGATAAGAAGTTGTAGGTTTAAGCGACAAGAAGTATATGTATTAACAAAATGAGAATGCTTTCTGTCAAATCAAAACAATGGCTGGAATCAAGCTAATATACCTGCCAGTATCTCCGCATCCCAAAGGACGTATGGGGTTGAAATCATTTAGTCCAATTCTTTTGCCAGTTGCAGTGATCTATATCACAAAAAACAAAGATTTAGTTAGGACGACATGGATGATGTACATGCCCGCACAGATGAAGAAAAATTTTGTCACTTCCAATAGGAATTGAGGGTAAAGCTTATGTCCTATAAACTTAAAATAGTTTTGACTATTTTTTCAACAAGGAAGAATGCCTGAAGCATGTTAACAATAGCATACGTCTCTAAAAGGCACTAAGAGCTTAGTAAGTAAATGAAAACAAACTGTTATAACTTCAATTAGTAGAAACAGTTAATCAAGATATTAGATGGGGACACATGTTAGCTCGCTAAGTAGCAGGGGAAGGAGGTTACCACAAGCACAACAATAGAAATGCTGGGAAATGAAAAGCATAACCTGAATTCCATGCAATCAACACAACTAACAATTCATGCAAAAATTTACGTTGGGAAATTTTAGATCTCTATAACAAACCTACAAACAAAAATAGCTGAAAAGTTGGGAAAACCTGAAAATGGAAGCATGACTTAAGGAAATAAAAGCATTATACCCTGTGATTTAGCCAGGTTTCTTATTTCCCTTCAATTGGATATTTGGGCAAACTGTTAAGATTGTATTTATATTTATTTATCATTAGGGGTATTTCTGTATTTCTCTTATAGTAGGATTTTATATATAGTGTCTTTTATAACCATGGTTCAAGGTCGCAGTATCGGCAATCGACTCGGAGAGTTCTGATACACGTCGGTTGCGGTATCGCGTCGCGGTATCAGGCGATACGACATAAAAGAAAATATTGAACACGATAAGAGATTTAAGTCATACCGCAGTGTCGCAAAACCGTAACGGCCGATTCGGTGACAATAACTCGGCTACTCGGGATTGACTCGGATACAATTCGGACAACTCGGCCAAGTCGTGCGAAACTCGAGATTTATACATATCGTGTAATGATATCATCTCGGCTGGTGCCGATTCGGATATAACTTGACCGACTCGTTATGGTATTGGTCAATACTTTGTACCATGCTTGTAACTAGTTATTTATTATTGAGGAATATTAGAGAATGGTAGCATGGTTTATTCTCTCTTCCTTTTCTACAAATGTTATTTTCTTTACATGATTTGATCTAGGTTTTCATGGTATCAGAGATTCAAAGCAAGGCTTATTTTCTCTTTCTTAGGTTTTAGTTGCAATTGTTGTAGCATGAAAGTATATAAACAGTGTACATGAACACAACCGTGAACAATGTGTGAATACTCAGTTAGGGTTTTATTTGTTGGTCAAACTTGTGGCTACTATTAGGATTGTGTTGCTTGAAGTTTCTAAATTTATAAATTTTAGATTTAGCCCTAGAAGTTTTAGATATTTTCATAAAACTTTCCACATTACATAAAATTGGGGCATGGGATTTTATGCTTTTACCTATCAGTATGTGTGGTGTTGGTTGTCGATGGATGTATAAGATTAAAACTAAGGCTGATGGTTTTGTTGATAAATATAACACCAGATTGAATGGATTCGGAAGGCTTGCTAGAGGGTTTACGTTGTGGAAATGTGTGACATTGCAATTTTTTGGGTCTTATCAAAGGAAACGAATTCAAGATTTTTTGAAGATCAAAGTGAAATGTGTTTGAAGGGCTATGGAACCGTATTCATTTTATCGATTCTTTTTGGGCTTCGGTGTCTAAGGATTTTAATGATACTCCACTTTTTGTTATTTTGGCAAATTGGAGAGCTTCATGTGATTTAGAGCTCTGATTTTTATTTCTTTCTTTTGTTGCAAGTACAAACTCATAAAAATTTTGTATGGTCTCAAACAAACTCCTTAAGTGTGATTGAAAAGTTCTCTACAGTGATTTGTGGCTTAAGTTTTCACTCTAGTGATTAGAATTTTATTCTTTTTCTTCGATCTACTTCTGTTGGTCAAATTGTTCTTCTATTATATATTGAGGATACGATTATTTCTGGTTTTCTTTTTATTTTTTGGGTATTGAAGTGGCCTCGTCGCCTAAGGGTTATCTTATTTTTCGGTCAAAATATGCAACCGATGTTATCGACATGGCTCGATTAACAAATTCTTAAACTGTTGAGCCTTGTCTCGAGCTTAATGTATATTACACTTCTACTGATGGTGTCCCTTTGGCTGATCTTATTTTGTATCAGGTTCTTGTTGGTAATTTGGTCTATCTCATTGTTACACGACCTAATATTACTTATACTGTTCGTGTTGTGAGTCAGTTTGTCTTTAATTTGACTACAGTTTACTAAGCTACAGTTCTCTGTATTTTACATTATCTTTGGGCCACTTTATATTGGAGTTTGTTCTTCTGTTCCACTTCTTCTTTGGAGCATTATGCCTTCTCTAAAGTTGATGGGGCAGGTGATGCCATGGATCGTAAACCTACAACTAGTTTCTGTGTCTTTTTGGGTGATTCCCTATTTTCTTGGAGGAACAAGAAATACACTATGGTTACTTGCTGATCTAGGAGTTTCCTTTTTTATTCCTGCGTCTATGTATTGTGACAATAGGGGTACTATTTAGACTGCACACAATTCTGTTTTACATGAGCGGAATACGCATATTGAGATTAATTGTCATTTTGCTTGTCACTCACCATCTATTATTTGAGACTATTTCTTTGCTTTTTGTTTCTTCTACTATGCAATTGGCCAACATTTTCATGAAGTCTCACACTACAGCGTTTTTTTTTTTTGTTGACAAACTCTTGATGCTTCCTATTGTTACATCATGAGTTTGAGTGAAAGTGTTAAAATTGTATTTATATATTTATTTAATGTTGAGGGTATTTCTATCTTTCTCTTGTAGAAGGATTTTATATATAGTGTCTATTGTAACTAGTTATTTAGTACTGAGGAATATTAGAGAAAATAGTAGCATGGTTTCTTCTCTCTTCCTTTCCTCCATGTGTTATTTTCTTTACATGATTTGATCTAGGTTTTCACAAGACCAAGATACTAAGATGAGAAACATCAATGCAAGTAATATACTTTAAGCTGGTCATTATTTTATGTCTGACTAATATGTTGAAAGTTGAAACCAACCTACCAAAGATCTATGCTGTTTTTCCATTCCATATTTGATTATAAAATTGGAAGGTAAAAGAACTAGAAGAACTTGAGTGACTGGATGTCGTTTCAACAGTTGAGCAGATCAAAATACAAATTCACTGTTCTGAAAAAATGCACTGTACTGCAATAAACTACAAAAGACAAGAATGCCATTCTCATATAAGAAAAATCCTTGTCCACTTCCAAGATGCAAGATTGATCAAGAAAGAAAGCTTTGCAGTTAAATGAAATAAATTCAGTTGATCAAATGCTTTCATGAAATGACATAAGCATTTGTGCTAGCCTTAGTTCCAACTTCAAAGGAACCATAATGCAGAATCACAAGCATAAGTATCAGATTTTTATGCCAAGTTCACAACTAAATAAAGCATTCTTCCCACTTCTCTTGTTTGGCCATATAAGGAGTTCATTTGTAAAATGCAATTCTACAATATGATAACTCAGATGTCTCTCTTCCAAATTGGTACCTTTTGTATTGCTAGCCAAGAAGAGCTGTCCTTCTTGTGAGGCCTTGGGAAGACCGGCTGGGAGTGGATAGCCCACAAGTCTTCTGGTCTCTGAAAGCGCCATAATTGAAGCTTGCATCAACCATAATAAAAATAAGCCATGAAAAATTTCACGCAATTAATGTTAAAATAGAAGGAAAAAAAAAACCACTAGTTTATTTTTGACAATGAATTCAATGGCAAAACTACCAATGAAAAGTTGTCTTCATATGTCATCACTGACAATTTTTATTTGATGACTTTAACATTGATAGAATATCTTTTATGCTACTGTATGTTGGGCAATTAAGAAACAACATGCCCAAAAACTAAGCGTAGCATAAACAAGGATATTCACATGGACATTGGGTAAAACCATAAAAGATAAACTAAGAATGAATATATTCATGAAATTGTAGGAGTAGCACTAGTAGGAAAAAAATTAAGATTGAATCGCCTTAGGTGATTTCGATATATTATAGAAGGCATAATAGTGCACCAGTGATGAACAGTAATTTGATTCATGCAGATGGTAATATGAGAGGTAGTTAAAAAAGGGCCAAAATTAAATTTAAATGACATAAATAATTTACAATCTAACGGAAAATATGACCCTTGATCGGGCATAAGAAAAAAATAAAATTCATGTATCCGATCCACTTGGGACAAAAGCTTTATTCAGTCGTAGTTGAGACAAATATAACATTATCAGAATACAAAAATGGGCGGTCTAATTAGTGTGGCTCCTACCATTGTAAGGTCTAGGGGATCATATGTGTGCAACCTTACCCTCACATGTGGAGAGACTATTTTCATAACTCAAACCCTTGGCAAACGTGAAAATTTGGATGATGGACATTCTTGTAATTACTTGATATGCTTAATATTTTAAATAAAGTGGTGTCTAGGTATGAGAAGTTATTTATTCAACTTTTCTAAAAAAATCTCTCTCCTCCTCTTTTTCTCTTCTCAAATCCTAAAGTTGTGATTATCACACTTCAACTTGTAATGCAAACATTGATTAAGGCATGAACTTTATCTAGAACATAGTAGAAGACGACATAGAGGAAAATGGAATTCAAGTAGAGTGTTAAATTGTCATCATGCCGAAGTTAGCACGTGGCGATAGGAAACCCTAAGGCTAGGGTCGGTTTTGTATGGGAAGTCCTTGGATATTCTTTAGGGGAAAATAGACATTTCAATCTAGAGTTTTTAAAATTAAAAGTTTTTGTTGCTTATAATCCATTCTACATGGTAAGAGTAAGCCTATGGGGGTTAGTTTTTTTTTTTTTTTTTTTTGTGGCTATTTAGATTCAATTTAATTTGTTGGTGGAAATTGGCCTTTGGTGGCTTGGTTGTGGCTTTTATCAATTGTTATACATGCATTTGTTGTAGGCTGGTTCCACCCAATGCTATTCCAGTGATTTGAGTTTTCATTTGTTATTTTGGGACAGATTGTGATCATTGGAGTTCTCCTTGCATTCATCAGATTTCTAGACATATTGCATAAGATGTCATAGAGTAGCTAAATTTCTTGCACCTCTTGCAGTCCCATCTTACAGAAGGGTGTTTAAGTTAAGGTTTATTTAAGAGAGACATTTAGGTGAAGAGAATAAGGCAAAGTCACACCTACTCGTTCTCAACCAGGATTCTGTTCTGAGGGCGTCAAATAATACAAAATATATTAAAGTTAGCTTTTGTAGAGAACACCTGTAAACATTGGTTTTAGTCGTAAATCCAAAAATTAGTCCCTACAACCTAGAAATTAGTTTGTGAAGACACAGATCCTCGTATTCCTTCATTATGATATGATGTAAACACTATGAATAAATTATCTCACAAACAATAATTTCTTATGATACCATTGCAAAAGTGAGTTGAGTGTCAACACATAACTTTTGATATAAGCCCCATTTGTAATTTGATTTGGCATTAATTTCACTTGTTTTCAATTTTCATAGGTCATCAAACTTGTCCAATCAAGTATCTTCAAATTGTAAGAACATCACTCATCCAAGTGATTGCATCCTCGATTGGTTATTAAATATCAACTCATTGATCTTTTTTAATACACTTAGTGAACTTCCTATATTTAAGTTTTTTTTGGAAACCTAAGGGAAACATAAGGTTTTTTAAAAACTTATGAGTGTCATAGAAATTTTTGAAAATGTGAGGGGGCCTGGTCAATGCATGGTTTTGCCCAGGTATATATAAATGTGGGCAGCAATAACCAAAAAACCAATACAACCTTAGAAGTGGTATAATTACAATACTATAATGCTCTACCTCAAGCTGAAAATTATAGATCATATAACCTTAGCTTGAAATTAATAGCTTTTGGGAAATTACAACTAAATGCCTTAGTGAAAACATCAAGAAGTTGATCCTTAGACTTTGTAATTTCGCAGTTATACCCTAATCCAATATCTTTTTACACATGAAATGACCATCAAATTCTATGTGATTAGATTTTTTTTTTTTTTTGGCAAAAATGAAGTATTTCAAGCTATACTCAAAGCTGCCTAATTATCCCAATACAGGTCAACTTCGACTTAAGAAGCATGAATACATATAGTAGCTATCTCTTAACTCACAAGAAAAACATGCCATCACCATATATTCAGCCTTCCCACTAGAAGTCGCTACTACACTTAGTTTTTCACTCTTCCGCAAAACTATATTCATCTCCAAAGAAATTACTATCACCTTTAGTGGATGAGTCAAGTATCCAAATATCGTTTCGAAACAGTCGAAACATCCGAAACGTTTCCGCTTCCAAGGAAATTGAAACAAATCAGTGATGGAATCGAAATTTTAATACTTCGAGATGTTCCATAATGTTTCGAAATGTTTTATTATATTTCAATGCATTTGCACAATTATTTTAGAATGTTTCAACGTATTTTAAGATATTTTGGTATATTTCGACCTATATTTTGAAAAAATAATTCTTAATTTTTTTATTTTTTTTAATTATGTTTTTGAAAGGGGTCAAAACGTTTATGTTTCTGAAAGGGGTCAAAACGTTTATGTTTCCTAGATGACCGAAACAATGCAACAAAACAAAATTTTGATCATGGAGTGAACCTTCTATCTGATAGAGAACCAGCCTCATCATCATTCGTAAAGCATTCCAGCATAATGTGCTTATTTGACTGAGACAACAATATAAGTCTAGAATCTCACTTAAGATATTAGATAATACAAACAATTGAATCCCAATGTGGTATTTGACAAGGTCCCATGAAATAATTCACGGTACTAGTTGTATAAGAGATATCAAACTAAGTAACAAGAAGGTACTTTAATTTTCCAACTAGGCAACCTATCTCCTAGAATCTCCAAATAATTCTCCTTTGTCTGCCATAAGCTTCTGATTAGTATCCATTGGAGCATCAGCTAGTAGACAATCCAAAAGACCCATTTCTTATATCAAATCAAGAGCCTATTTACTATGACATAAACTAATTCTTGTCTTAGATCTAGTAACTTCAACACCATATAAGTATCTAAGTGTATCTAAGTTTGCGCAAATCCTCGGTATGAAGCATATCCTACAGAAAGTGTTTCAACATAAAAATGCCACCAAAGTCACTTCCAATGGTCAAAATGTCATCATTCTCATGTGCCATCAGAATAATACAACCTGAAACCATATAGAGTGGTGAAAAGCTGAATTGATTTGTCAGGCATGTACGAAGCCCAAAATCTAGTATTGCCTCAAAAAAATTTCCAAATCATGTTCTCGATCGTTGTTTGAAACCATACAAGGCCTTTTATAATCTACAGACACTACCACAATATCCCCCCCAACCCTCGAGAGGTGGTTCTATATAGATTTCTTTCGCTAAATCCCTGTGTAAGAGGGCATTTTGACATCTAACTAAAACAAAGGACAATCAAGATCAGAGGTCATAGAAATTAAAACAAGAACAAAAGAAATCTTGGCAACATGAGGGAAAGCATCCTCATAATTGACATCATATGTTCGCATTTAAACCTTATCCACTAGGCCTGGCATCTAAATGCTCGACGGAAGCACAAGGATTAAATTTGATTGTGTATAACCACCAAAAAGAGTGTGCTGACCCAAAATGGTTATCATTGCTATAGCCTTACGTTTGATGCTGTTTTACACTACAGTCTATAGATGTCACCTACTTTGAGTATGTACAATATTTCTAGGGGTGCAACTTAGGTGGGTTGGGTGGGTTAAGAGCTCAACCCTACGTACAAAATCTTCAATCCTAACTTGAGTACAGCCAATTCGAACACTTTCCTCACTTTATCATCATCCAGTATTGTCTCAACCACCAATTCGAGAAAAGAAGGACCCATTCTTTCTTTCTTTCTCTCGCTTAACATAAACCCTCACTACCTCCACAACATCTTTCCCTTTACTCCTCTTTACCACATTTTGACTAACACTTTTATCCCACAACGCGGCGTCAATCTCATCATTTCAGTTCTTCAATTCCTCTAAAGCCAAACCCCCATTTCAATTCCTTTGATGGCTAAGAGAGTGATAGACAAAGAGTCAAATTAGAGAGGTAGAGAGTGACTGAGTGATGGTGATGAGAGTTTGAGGCTGGATAAGGATGAGGGTTGAGGGTCGACCAAGTGAGAGAGGCTATGAAATTGAGAGTGAGGGACAAATGAAGGCAGAGGCATAAGAAGAGACGAAGAATTTGGAACCCTAGTTGTGTATTGTGGTCTGCTTTGGCTATATATATATATATATTTTTATTTTTTTTTAAATATGTCGAGTTAAGCCCAATTTATAGATTCCGGTTGAACCCAATTTTATTAATTTGGGTTGGGTTCTGGTTGAACCCATAACCCGATACCTTAACCCGGTTATTGCCCGAATTTAATTCGGGTTGGCATTTTTTGGTCTAGGCACAACTTAAGTATTAAAAAATTTATCCCAAGCCCTATTTTTCCAGAGTTAGGTTCGGGTTAAATTTGAGTTGGTTCGCCCAAGTTGCACGCCTAAATATTTCCTCGTTATCACCTCTCTTCTTGACAATAACTTTTTAAGACCACTCCATCATTGACTTCGACTCATCTTCGATTATCAATTGTTACCTCATCAACTCTCTCACCTATTATCACCATTTTCCATCATTATAGGTGTACTGTTATTGCTTGAGGCTCTCTGATGAAAGGCTCACATCATATTCCTTGTTGTTAATAAACTATACTAGAACTTGTCCTACAATCGATATAATAGCACCTCGGTTGAAAAGCTCACAACACCTCAAAAAACAAGTATATGAGCCTTGTAGGTCTCTCCAACCATCGTCTATTAGTTTTGAGTTGAATGTCTTCCCCTGATCTCCCACTCACAAGTCTGAGGGAGTCTTAGAGCTTGTCCCATATCGATATTGTATCTCCTAAACTAGTATATGAGCTATGTGGATCTCCCCATTTGATGCCTTCCTAAGGCATATTACCCCATTTGATGGTATTAATGCCTTGGCAATCCTTTCGTTTTTTGTTGCAACAAGTGTTTCTATTTTGTTCCTAAAGTTGAATATATATTGTGAAGTGTTTGAACTTGCAGAACAGTAGTGTTCCTTTCCCTCCAAGTCTAAAGAAAAAAATTTCACCTTTTGCTACTATGCATTCTACTGGTGGGATCCTTCATGTATTTCTATTTTGTCTGGTTGCCAATGGTTAATTATCTTTATCGATGATTGCTCTCATGTTGCCTGTGCATTGTTTCAACACAAAGTGAAGCCTTCAACTATTTTAAGAAATTCATGTAATGATATATATGTAATTTGATGCAAAAAGTTAAAGAGTTCAGGTTTGACGATAACGGTGACTATGTTGGTTGTGTATTTAATTTATAGCCGAATCCAAATGGAATTTTTCATTAGACTATTTGTGTTAGTTCTTCACAACAAAATAAGGTAGTGAACATAGAATTTCCTTTTATTGGAAGTTGCTTATGCGCTCTAGTTCACTATGCTTGTTCCCAAACTTTTTTGGGGATGCCCTTATTATGGCAATCTATCAAATTGATTGGATGCCCTTTCTTGTTAATTTTAAGTCTCCTCTCAAGGTTTTAGGTTTGCATTCCCTATTCCCCTCATATGTTTAGTTGCATCTGTTTTGTTCATCTTCTGGTCCGTTTGGCGTACTCTTGACCCATTGGTCTAAAATACATCTTTTTTGGTTATTCTGCCACATACACTTAGAATGGGTATCAATATTATCATCCTCTTACTTGAAGACGCTTTGTCTTATGGATGTAACCTTTTAGGAGTTCACATCATATTCTATGGTCTGAAGAGAGATTGGTGGTGAAGAGTTGATTTCTCAACCTTTGCCTCAGTTTGAGGCTAGTCTCCGAGTATATAGCCTATGTAATAGACAAATAGAAATAGTGTTCGAGGACTAAAGAGATGTTGATTTCCTTGAACAGGAAAAAAGTTAACCATGTTAATCCTTCTCATGCTAATTTCCAGTTGGATTCTTCTGATCGAGATAGTGATTCAGATCCTCTTATAACGCCTTCAATCCATCTTGTTTTGTATGACATTAACGATTAACCTTTCTATTGTGGTTTATAAGGAAGTTTGGTCTCGCATTCGATAGTCTATCGCCAATTTCGTGTCTTATCACCCCCTCTCAACTTCCTACTTTACGTTTTATCTCCTCGATGTCTTTGTGCATGTTCCAAAGGATTGGAGAGATAACTTTATAAACCCCAAGTGGAAGGCAACTAGGGTAGAATAGTCAAAGCTCTTCAGAAGAATGCTTTAACGTAAAGCATAATGCAAGGTGGTCTCTTCAATATTCGATGTGAAAAATCCCTTCTTTCGTGGAGACTTGGAAGAGGAGGAGCACAAGGATGTTTGTTCTACCTTTTCTTCTTCTGAATAAGAAGATTGTAAGTTGAAGAAGCCTCTTTGTTGGTTGAAGTAATTCGTTCAACTTGGTTTGAGAGACTAAGTAAAGCTACACAAAACTATGGGTACAACAAGAGTTGGACTGATCTCTTCATCAGGCATATGCAATGGAAGGTTATTGTGCTCATAGATTATTGTTATTGTCATACCACGTAATGATCCTTATGAGGTGCAGGATTTGGAGTTATATTCAGCTAAGGGTTTTGAGTGGGGATAGAGGTTCCAAAATCACAGGAGGAAATATTTATTTCTTAGTGAACTACGTCTTAGATTGTTGAAAGAGGCATAAATGCTTGACAACAACCTTTGTGATACTCTGAATGAGTCGAACTATAGTCATGGTTAGAATAGTTATGATATGAAGGTCGATACATGCAAATGACATAGATTTATAGGCAAGTTGTTTTATCTCTCACATTCTGCTGGATATTGCCTATATTGTGAGCGTGTTAAGCCTGTTATGCATTGTATACAATCATTCCACTTAGATGCAGATTCTGAATTTTTTAATATCTGAAGTCAGCATCTGGTAAAAGTCTTTTACTATCAAAACATTATCCTTTGAGGCTAACTTCAAATATTGAAGATTGGACAAGGTCAGTCATGGATAGACAATCCACTTCTGGGTACCGTACCTTTGTTGGAGGCAATTTGGTGGCTTGGTGTAGTAAAAACAGTCAGTCGTTGTGAGGTCTAGTGTCGAGGATGAGATCTATAGAACATGGGGTGTTTGAGCTTTTGGGCTACATACATTGATAAATATGGCCCAATGCGACTTTTTTGATAACAAATAGATCATCAATGTTGCAAGTAACTTAGTTCAACATGATTGAACCATGTGTATCGAAATCGACAAACATTTCATTAAATAGAACATTTCACTATTACTGTGATGACTGAATAACAACTAGATGATGTGTTGAATAAATGAGTGTCGAGTAAGGTGTCTCAAAGTATGTTAGACAAGATGAATATGTGTAATATCTATAATCCAAATTGAGAGGGAGTGTTAGAATTTCTAAAATGTTTGGATGATGGGCATTATTGTAATTCCTTGATATAGTGAATACCACTAACAGAGAGGAGGGTAGAATTGACAATTCATGCATTTCACTCTATTCACAAATTTCTTCCTTCCTCTCTTTCTGCCTCACTTTTATCATATGCAACTAACCTCTCAAGGTAGCTCTATTCATTAACCTGTTAAATATCTATATACGATTAGAAAAGAAAATCATAAAAACTTAGAAAAACACAGTCACTAATGTTGTAAACTAATAATTAATACTCAGCTATACTCAAACCGAATAAAGAAGAAAGAGAGTACCTTACCAAGTTGGCATCTGGAAGTTCTCTTACAGCTTCATCAACATTTTCTGCAGTAGCTTTGACCTGGGGAGATGAACACAAGATGGCTAGATTTTTACACCAAAGTTGGCACTAGCAGGCACATAAAAGTAATATTTTAAATTGCCATAGAAATTTTTTGTAATTGCATGAAAATTTTCACTCTAATATTACTTTAATTTATCTCATAATACAGGAGTATTTCACACTTTTCTTTCTAAATAGCATTTGTCGTTGTGCAAGGGCATCCCTTACTGCATTCCATCCTAACGTCAGGAATGGTGGGATGGAACTCCTTCCTTGTTAGAGTGAGTGCCCCATAGGGTCACTTCACTCACTTAAGAGATAGTTAACAAAGTCAGAGTAAAGATATAATAAGATAGATTGATTGGGTCATTCGGTCATTACCTCTCTAGCGCTCCCCCAGGCTTTTATGGCTATGGGGGGAGCGGTAGGAGTACGTTCCTCATTTCCCAATCGTAGGAGTTAATCAATCATCAATCATGAGATATCAATACGAGACTTATTACTAGTTAGAGTGAGTGACACACCAATTAGATAAAGCTTTCTAGTAAGTGATGACAATATTACAAAGGACATTACAACGAAGCCATGACAATCAAGAAGAGGACCACATAAAAAGTTGAACATCACATTAGGCATGCAGAAGAGGATGGTGCTAAGGCTAATGTTCATTTTTAAGAATGAATTATTTGGAGACAAACAGAGAGTGGACCCATATGTTAGAATGTATACTTCCTTGTTAGGTAAAATAATATTCGTTTTGACACGGGTCACTAAATTTCTCCTTTTTTTTTCTATTCTTTTCTTTCCTTGTTTCCCTTTACTTAAGTACTAGGATACACAGATACTTCTCGGACAGGTGTCGTGGCAATGTCAAACACGTGTCCAACACGGCTAGAAGTGTCTTAATAGTGAACCTAGTCGGACACTGCTAGTACACGGTTAGGACACGGTCAAGATACGCCTAAGACACGATTAGGATACGTCTAAGACATGGTTTGGATATAGTGATGAATTTTTTTTAAAAAAAAAACAACTGTTGGCTATTAAAATAGGTATTTCTTTTTAAACATATTTTTTTTTATATAACTTATACACTATGAATGTCAATGGATGTAATAATGCTTGATGAAAATTTATTTTGATCTATTTCAATTTTAATAAAAAAATTAATAATTGCTAGGTCTTATTATTAATATTGTTGTAATATATGTTTTATTTTTAACATATTACAACTCTATTATTATTTAAAAAATAATATATATTATTTTAATAGTCGTATTCTTACCGTACCCATATCCTATATGTTTGAACTTTGTTGTATCTCCGTGTCCGTATTCGTGTTTCCTACCTTATACATCAAAACATTACATTCTTCAGAGATTAGCTTAGACTTATTACGGGGAAAAGAAGAACCATAGAGTTGCTTTCAATATCATTGCAATCACCACATGAGTGGTTGAGGTGATTCACTATAGGGTCACTTGACTTAGCTCATCACAATGACCGTCTTACCAATTTTTCAAAAACTTTTCCACCATCTATGAGATTTTTTAGTTTCAAGAAGGGTTCCTCCACATGTAGATATACTTGATTCAAAGGAAACTACCAAGTGACTATTCTTGTGTATAGGCTGAAAATTCAATAGTCGTGGCTTTCTCAGCTTCCAATTTCTCATAAATTCTATAGGGAATATACCATTGATGTACATGTGCCATCTAGTGGGGATTTATGTTTTTAAGACAAAGGGAGCAATTTTTGCACAGTAACCACTAGCAAATAATTTTGATTCAAAGGAAACTAACGGGCTAATTTTGTTGTAGATAGTAAATGGGTATTTTTTAAATGCTGAAAATTAAACAGAGATCTAACATTCTAAGTTGTAGTGCAACATCAAGTCTAGACGAGAACCTCCTATAATTGCAGTACTACCTTGATTTTCAAACATTTTAGCTTCCCTGTTGAGTCATGCATATCAATATCTATAGCTATGTATTTATATGCATATATATACGTGCTTGAATATTTTGGGGGAAATATTCTATGTATTTTATATCAGACACGTTTTTTGTCTAGGATAACTAACTTTTACCTAATTGTGGTTTGGCCCAATCTTACCTCGATCGTGAGTCAGTCTGGTACGTGGTACGGATATGGGAATGCAGATGACACTTTCTTAGATACGCGGTACGATGGGGTAGCATTAGCTGATACGATATTTTAAGTTGCAATTTGTTCTGAAAGTCTTGTCTATATTATTTTCACTATTATACAACATTATATATCATAGAACATCAACAAAGACCAAGTTAATTACTATTTATCCAACATTTGTCCTCGATTTTCTATTATCTAATATATAATTATAAATTTATATACACGCAGTTAATTAATATGTATATTATATTTGTGCTACACGTTCCAAAGAAAATCGATTTAGGGTTAGTTTTACAATTTAGAATCGTACATTTTAGTGATTTGGATCACGAACCCACCTCGTTTGGAATCGATCAAGATTGTGGGTTGTCAAGGGTTTAGAAAATTCTGGTAACAGTAGTTTGGCCCATAATCTCTTTGCCTCCCTAACGTTTAAAAATAGGCTCATAACTGCCTTGTGATTTTGGACCAAAGTGTAGCCATTAGGTTTTCCATTTAAATTGTCGAAATGTACCGTACAAACATGCCAGAAATGTTAGTAGGAAATATTTTCCACCAAATTTTTGTTTTGAATGAGAAGAATGCCTCTTAATCTCTGTCTCTGTCTCACTCCAACATTGAACCAAATCAAGACCACCATAGCCTCATCCACTTAAGTAATTGTCTGGCTTTTAGAGTATAGAAAAGATTGATTTCATGAAACAGTAACAACAATGGTGCTTTGCAGCTGGTTCTGTTGTGATCTATAACAAGTTTTGTAGCAGTGACTGGTTGGTTTGTGATGATGATGAGGCTGCCGAAGGTTGGATTATCGTTATAGAGATGATTGTGGGTCTCTCTCTCTAAGTGGAAGTGGTGGTGTGTATAGTGCATCTCTCCATGTTTGTTTTGTCTGTATGATGAAGTGAATCTAAATTGTGGATTAGTTTTGATCTGAATTTGGACATAAATGAAGCTGGCAACGGGAATTTGTTAGTGGATGATTTCAGTTGGGTGTTCATCTTTGTTCGGCTGTTTCTTGATTTTGCTCTTTTTCAATTCTGTTCACAGGTCAATTTAGAGGAAGAAATTAAAAGAAGTGCTGGTCACGTCTTAGACCTTCAAGTAACTGAAAGGAACCAAGGAAAAATTCACTCATGAACTTGTTGCTAGTGGCGAATTTTATTATGTTTTTTGTTCGGTCAACTCATCATCGAGATTATCATTTTGCTGGTGAACTGAGTATTTTACGGTAAGAGATGTCTGTATGTAGGTAACAATGAAACTTTAGCTAAATGAATAATGGAACATCCCATTATAGTTTAGACCAATCTTCAATCCAGCCATAATATTTGTAGTGAGAAGAACATTGAAAAAGAAGGGGTAGTATTGTAAATTCACCTTTCCATTAACAGAGTCATCTATTTCACTTTGGTCCACAGACATGGGGATGAGTCTATTTTTAAACGTTAGGGAGGTAAAGAGATTTTGGTCAAACCACAAGGGGGAAAAAGGTAACTATCCTTTTTTGTTCCATATTTCAGCAAGTTTCACGAAGAGATTCAATTTATTTGGGGAAGTATTGTATACAGACACAGGTCCCAATTGGGAATTGACCCCCTACGGCTCCCTCTTTGAAGATGGCAGGAGACACAACTGAAGCTAAGACCATCTGGTTCACCAAAAGAATCTAAGTTGTACTTTTAAGTCGCATACAACTCAAATATCTTCAAAATTCACCAACATCATATCAGATAGAAAGCAAACTTGTCATATTAGAAAATGCTTTAGATAGGATTCGAATTAGAAAACCCCAGTCAAACTTCAAAACTGGCAACCAATGCAAAACAATCAAATGAATGTTGGGCATCATCATCTTCATTGCCACCAACATTCAATTAGTCAATCAAGATAATAGAAGAAATCGTACCAACATGGTGCTTTGTTGTTCTGAAGTCTCTGAGAGGCGGTTTCGCAGGGGTTCCACGTGATCACTTCCATCTAGTTGGACACCGATGAAGTATTGAAGCTCCCCCTGCAAACATTTTTCAAGAGACTCAACATTCCAATAGGAAAACTGCAGCATTAATAAAATAAAACTGTATTCCATATGCATAAAAGAACTTGAATAAACAGCTAGTGGTCACCTTTTGATCTCGCATAGGCTGCAAGTGGAATAAATTCCAGAATTTCTTTCCTGCAAATACAGTAATTGATACAATGATATTATATTCCTGGACCCTTAAGCAAGATGCGTCAAAAAAATGGAGCAATAGCAACATATCTACACAATACCTAAAGCAATATCTCACCACTCTTAGTGTAGTTGATCAACTGAACAGTTATTTCCCTTTGTTCTCTGATAGCATCTCTTATCTTTGAAACAGTTCCTTGATCTGTTTCAGGTCCTTGAAGAAATCTGCACCAAAGATGAAGACTATTAGATGAGACTGGCATCGCTGGAAAATAAAAATACTTTATTAACATGAGAGATAAGGGTGCAGGCTAGGTTTAGGTTCAAAAATTCAATGCACAGAAAACCACAAGTATGACTTCAGAAAAACTATACAGATATAGGTTAACTTTGAGACTTTTTGGATAAAATTATAAAATCAGAGCAACAACCATGGTTATTGAAATCCCAATCTGGATCATAGAATCTTAATATGATCCTACACGAACAAATTGATCCAAGTCTCTTGTATCATCCCCAATTCATAGGATCTTAATAAATTGTGATGACGTGATCTGGATCTTCTAAGATCGTAAAATCCCACTCTGAATTGCAATTTTACCGATTCAGGTTGTCAATTTTGTTTGTTAGGCACATTTAATTATTGAACTAACCCAATTCATAATTATTATTTCACTATGTAAAGACTCAATCCAAAGTTGATTGTTTTCTGTAGTTGTCAGTCTATAAAAGCTAAAGAAAGACTCAATCCAAAGGTGATTGTTTTGTGTAGTTGTCGATCTATAAAAGGTATAGTTGTGTGGTTGTTTTGGAATTTCAGCTGATGATAAAAGCTAAAGAGAGTTTTTTTGTTACAGAAAGCTCTCTTCATTCTTTTGTCTCTCTTGTTGAAAAGTTGAAAACAATGGTTAGGTTTGATCTCTGCTCTCAACGAGTAATTATAGCAAGATAGTCATCCATTTTCACATTCTTATGCTTTTTTCGTTTGTTTGTTTGAATGCCTATCAGTCAGTTTTTTATTCAACAAACTCTCAGCTTTTAACTCTCTCCTCCGTATTCATTTCTCTCTGAAAGTTAAGATCAAAAATTTTCAACTCTTCTATTACTCTTGACAAAATCCCACAAGATCAACAACTCGCCTTGATTTTCAACCCTCTTCAAAGCTCAAAGCTCAGATTATAGTTTCACAAATTTTAACCATTTCTATAAGTTTTATATTTGTCATAACATTTTATTTGCATATAAATTATGATACATACTACACTTATTTAATTCTTGTTTTTAAGAATTTTGTATAGTCACATGTTTTTCGTCTCATTTTTTGAGTTCGTAGGATTTTACGATTCTTAAACCAATCCTCCGATCCTAATCCTTTAGCCTCCCCTATTGATAGGATCCCAATTTTAAAAACCTTGGCAATGACAACATCTGTAAATTCTTGAGTTTGTCATCCACAAGGTTGTCGATCATAGAAAAGTTAAAATTTAACCATTCTATGCATGATCACAAAAATTCCATTCATCTACCTTCATATTATACTATCCACCTAGAAAACTTTACACCAGATGAGATGTGTTATTACAACTAGAATGCTCTAAAAGTGAAAGGTTAGTGGGAAGAAGGACATGATTGAGTCACCAACCAAAAACATAAATTATCATCCATCATCAATAGTTGAGTGAGACTTATCACTGAAACCATTTACTTAGGGCAAGGTTCACAACAAATAATGTTAGAGTATCTAACCCAAGACCAATTGGTAAAGAGTGGAAAGGGCCCTTAAGCATATAAACCACGTGCACTAATCATTCGATGTCAGGTATAAGTTCTCTTTACATGAAAAACCACAAATATGCTTAGGTCATATATAGGAGACAACTACAAAATCAAATAAAATAGGCGTGAAAGAAATAAAAATCTATACCTGCAATTTCTTCCTAAGATTTCTTCACGTGCATATTCTGTCAATTCGAGAAAGCTATCAGATGCAAATATCTGCACATTAAGGACCCAATTTCAGTGTCCAGTACAGTATGCATCTAAACGGCATCCTAAATATAAATGAACTTGCAACCTTGAAAGTGCAATGTGGGAGTTGGACAGAAAAATAAAGCACCATTTCAATGCTGGACTCGTGGAAGTTCAAAAGAAACAAAGACTAGCAAATCTTGCAGCATTTCTGATTATATTAATGGAAATAAAATCAAACCATAAACTAAATTTTTGTACACATCATGTGCAATAAATAAAAGCGGTCTGCTAAATAGTTATATTCGCTGAAATTTAACGCAAAGCAAAACCCAGTAGCGAAAGCTACCACAAATTATGTTTTCAAATCATGATCTTACAATTGGGTTATCAGGAAGTCTAGGATCCGTTATCACAAAATTTTTCTCAATGCGTTCCAACGTGGTTGCCAGGTCAATTCCTTGACGTATATCTCTTTCTCTTTCAGCACGTTCCCAACTGTTACTACGTTCTGTATCTTTAGTCATCAAAACCTCAGGTTCAATACTTGGTGGATCTTCATGCCTCCCTGCAATGCTGAAAGACCTTTTTCTGAACCTGGAGAAAATTAAACAACAGCATACATAAAAATGACATCTAACAAGGATCCATAGAGTCTATGAGCCTATTTTAACAAGACATATAAGTCTTTTCTGAGACACTTGATCTCTAAGGCCTGAAATGAAAGACAGTCTAACAAATGGAGAAACTTCAAGTGATTTCACTACAGGAAATCAATTCAACAAACTATGAGTCAGCTGACTTCTTTTTTTTGTAGGTTAAAACTCATAGTCACAGTTTATTGCCTATGTTGGGTCCTGTGAATTGAACTGCACTAATTTCCAATGCTAGCAAGCCTTCAAAGTTGAAATGTAGATTACCAAGAAATTGTTTAAAAAGGATGCCCCATGGCATGTAGCTGTTTCTGTAGCTTGTCAATTGTTTTCTCTTTAAAAAAGGTTCAAGTCAAGATTCATTGAGACTATATACAACATTTTCTTCTTCAAATAAACCAGTGGAAAACAATACAGGGAACTAGTTACTCAAACTAAAGTCTCTCCAAACACTTCTCAGAAATGATCTATTTCCTTCTATTAACACAATTGGTACAATTCTCAAATTTTAGTTCACCAAAATATCAATAGCTGTACTTCTATCATATCTGCCTCTCCATATAATGTGCAGTTACTTAAGTTTGATGCCTATTTAACAAAATAAGCAGCTATAATGAAAAATATATACATATTGGTCATGAAATGATTCAATAATAAAATTAGGCTTCAGATGAGATATTATGCCAAATAAACCATTTCATTGCATTTAACTAATTAACACAGAGCCGAATGACAATCAATCGAATATCTAAGGTCAGGAACTGTTCCCAAATTCCAATAATAGTGCAGGTTCAACAAATGACTCAAATTTTGAGATTCAAATTACATATATGGATGTGACACAAGAGCATCTAGGTTCCAGTTCCAAGCTTCTATAAAAACTCTACACTGCAAACTCGTAATATGGCCTTATATATTTTGAAGGGTTTATACTAAACCAAAAAATCAAATCAAACTAAGTCTTATGTCCTAATCATTTGTGGTCAGCTATATGAGTCCGTCTTCGTTATTTATTTCGATCATGCACTATACGCTCCTTTTAAGTTAAATATTTTCATATATTTTCTTATTATTTTGTTCAATGTTAATACAAGTCTACCCCTGGTTCTAGTACCATTAAGAGAAATTCTATCACTTTTCCAAACCGGAGCCTCTATCGGTCTTTATTGAACATGACCAAACTATTTTAATCTATTATCTCTTAACTTATTCTCAATTGGAATTACTCTTATCATTTCTCTAATACAATCATTTCTAATATTTTCACACATTCATCTTAGCATTTTCATTTTTGCGACACTCATTTTGTCATTATGTTGTTTCCTAATTGCTCAATATTCTATCCCATATAACATTGTTGTCCTTATAGCTGCTCGGTAAAACTTACTTTTCAATTTTATTGATGTCCTTCAATCACATAATATGTTAGAGGCTTTCCTCCACTTAAGCCAACTGACGTTGATTTTATGAGTTACATCATCTCTAATCTCTCCATCATTTTTAATGATCGATCCTAAATATCTAAATCGTTTAATCTTTGGTATTTCTTGATTTTCAATCTTAACTTTTTCACTATGTCTATTCCTTCTATTACTAAAATTACATTGCATATATTTAGTCTTACTCGTACTTATTTTAAACCCTTTCGACTCGAGTGTCCCTCGCCAAATTTTTAACTTATTGTTAATCCCTCTTCGAATTTCATCTACTAATACAATATCATGTGCAAATAGCATACACCATGGGACATCATTTTGAATGTGCCTAGTGAGTTCATCCATAATTAGAGCGAATAGGTATGTATGGACTTAAGGCCGATCCTTGGCACAATCCTATCGTGATTGAAAATTCTTTACTTTCTTCCCTGGAAGACCTAATTGTAGTCATAGCGCCGTCAATACATGCCTTTTATCACCTCAATATACCTATTCGTCAGTCCTTTTCTCTCAAGCAAACAAATGCTTTTGAACTTCAAATAAAAGTACACAGAAACTTTTGTTCCCTTAACAATGAGGCATGAGAAAACTCTAAGCGTTAGAAAGATTTCTCAAAATATATTTAAAAACAAAACATGTAACTATAAAGTAACAGTATGTAACATCTCTCATATATTTGAAAAACTTTTGTAACTTTATCATCTGGAAACTTCCCTGACTTCATGTATACATCATACATGTTGTGTGAATCATGTGTATCACCTGTACTGATGAGTGGGTGGCACATGATACAATTTAGATGTATACACCATATTTTCCTATTTTACCCTACCAATTTTTGTTTGCAATAACACAGCTCATATCCACATTCTCAAGCTTAGCAGCCCAATTTCATGAATGCCCCTTTCAACAACCTGCATTGGCAAAATCCCTATTGGAAAATTGCCCTTTTTAGATCTACAAGGAAAGTTTGACTGATTCAGTTTCCATTGGATATCCAAATATACATCTGAACTGATTTTAATTTCGCATTGGAAATCTCAGACTAGCTTTCACAAAAAAACAAGACTAAACTGACCTGTAGGAACCAAGGTTCTGTCCTTGGTTCTAACTCTATTGAATGAGAGGAAACTGATCTCTTCACAACGGTGTTTAGAAGTTAAAATGCAAAAGCCAAGATAGCAATAGGAATTTGAGACATTAATGTGCTCAAGCTTACTACGCAAACATATTCTTGGGCTAAAAACCAAGAAGTAACAGACTAAGCAATTTGTGTGCAATGCTCATTGGTGTTTTTGGTTGCCCTTCCATTTTCTTTCTTGTTCTCCTTATAATAAGGTAAGCCCGCATCCCAAATTAGTAAATTTTTAATTGTGGTTAGTTAAGATAGGCAGGGATGAACACTCTATCTCCTCTCTAACTCGTCTCTTATATAATCTTGAATATAGAGATAGGAAGTTCTATGTACAAGTTTCCTCAGTGCTTCCTAATTCACAACATTGGAGCCTTTCAATCATCCCATCAATCTTTGGGTGAGTGACCCAAAAATGGAGTTATTTAACACAAAGTATAGACAGGTGACACAGTCTTACATAATTCAACACATAAAACGGGACAGCTGTAATTGTAAGAAAGAAAATCTACCATCCCTGGCATTGCCAATGTGTCTGACACACCAGACAATAAGAGCATACACTCTGACTTAATGTTTCTATAAGCAACAGTTAATTCCAGAAATATCATCACATAGCGAAACTATGGAAAGCATATTGAGAAAAATGACTCACCCCATTAATGAAATGCGTCCTGATTTTCTAGCTTTTTTTTCAGACTCCTGATGGGAACTTGAGCGAGATAGATCACTTCTAAAGTACAATTGAGGAGTTTGTCTACCAGGTGTACTCATGCTTTCAGTTTCAGCAGAGCTAGGGAGCATAAAATTGAGGTTTAACTTCTCATCTTCATGTATGCTAGTTGTTTCTTGATTTACCGACTGAATGTCAGGTCTTGGATGCTTCAAAGTTTGTACAACCTCTATGATGGAACCTAAAGCCTCTTCCTTTTGACGAGCTGACACATGGAAGATAATGAAAATGTTAAAATGCAGCCAGAGTCATTTTCACAACCAAATTCCATAGTTTTATTTACCATCATAACGGATTAGCGACTTAGGCAATCCATTTGGTCGTAGTGCCTTGTCATACACACCTTCTGTGTATTTGCTAACCTCAACCTGCATTCTGCCAAATGGTATTGAATGTACCATATAGAGTCACAATTAGAGCCTAACCAAGGAAGCACAGTGCAAGAAAGCACTTATTACCAAAATAATGGACAGCCATAATAAAATATTCTTCATTGTGCCATTGCCAGGGCCTTCCTAACCCACTTGGAAATCAAGACTAATACCTAGACAGAGGGAATCACTCCAAAACTAGTGGTGGGGCCACATTTAAAGGTGTGGGGCCACTTGCCTCCACTGAATTTTGAGGAAAACTCCATATATATTACTGCAAAGTATAACTATTATGAATTTATTACATTGCCCCTTAGATTTTTGAAAATTTCTATAGTGGCACTAATTCATTTTACTGTTCAGTAAGTTAGTGCCTTAGTGGTCCACTAACCCCAACCTACTAAGATAAATATTTTATTTTGGACGGAGTAAAACACATTTTATGCCCTTACTCTTACATATATTGACCAAGATATTACATCTTTTATTTGATACACTTCCCCTTATTGTTCTCAAAATCAATTGTATAGTTACCTCTGATTCTTTTTTGGTAGGTTGATAGCTTATAACCCACCACCATACAAATAGATGTAAATGATAAAGTATACTAAACCAAAAGCATTTATGCTTTTCACAAAAACAAAAACAATTTCTCAACAAGATGAATGATACTTTCAACTAGGCTTTGCAACAAAATGAAGCACGATTTTGCCACAAGCTCTTTGATTTTGCACATTAACAAGAAATTTCTGAGAAATTTAGCACAGGATTAATCAGTTATAAATAGTTCTTGAGATTCGTAAAATTCTCAACTAAGCTAGGGGCAGCCTATATGTGGCTCCGTCACTGCACAGGATTTGCATTTCTAAACTCCAGGTTTGCATAATATACTACCACATTTAGGATTTTGTGTGAAAGAAAATCTGATTGAAAACATAAACTGACCAATGTATTTATATTAATGACAAGAAGAAACAATGATGGGGGGGGGGGGGAGAATAAAATCTATACCCTATAAATTTGATAGCCCTTCCACTGTCATCTTTGATAGGGCTGATTGTCAGGAGATTCCAAAAACGAGTGCCATCTTTCTTGTAATTCAAGAGCCTCCCACAATAACTTTTTCCTGTTCTGACAGCACTCCGTATCTTCTCCACTTCATTTTGGTCTGTCTCTGGCCCCTGTAGAAAACGGCTGCACACAATAAAGGGACACCGCCTTAATTCCATTCCCAGCTTTTAAATTTTCCAACATACGTGAAATTCTACACCATTGTTACAAGTAAGACAACATTTTTCTAAATACCTTGATATCAAAAACTAGTGTGACCACTGCTCATGCAGCTGTTATCATGGCAAAGTTTTATAAGTTGAAAGGTTTCCATCTCCTTCATCAATGCATTGAAGGCATTGGGCAAACCTTGCTATTTTACTATTTGGGCAAATTTGTGAACTACTACTATTTTTATCCCCATATCTATATAATAAATCAGATAGGTTTTTTAACATATGAAGAGTATATTTTCCCCTCTAAATTTCACACACCCAGCACACTTTCCCCCCAAATTTCACAAATCTAACACACATACTCCACAACACACAACTGCACATACTTACACACACTCCAACACACTGTCTAATGCTTGTACGGTATCATAATTCAGTGTACAGTTACTTTAATCACAGGATATCGCTAGTGCATTAATATCACGGCAAATCATTTCAAAGAAAACAATCCTTTCATTAGAAGAAAAACAAAAAAAATTCATGATAATAATAACTAGAAAGAGCGGTGGCCAATTGCCAAAGCCATTCTAATAGCAACCGCGCATGCGGCCCCCTGGGGGACAGGGGCTTCATGTCTCCATGAGTACAGCACTCTTACAAGCTGTAATTCTCAAGTAGTAAAAGGGGGAGGAGCAGGCTTTAGTTGATCCTAGTCTCATCTATACTACAATTCTAAAGTAAAAGTAACATGAATTGAACACTTTCACAAGCTAGTTTCATGGACACAGTTCTTCACTACCATTTCTACTTGTCTGATCAAAGAGACAAAAAATTGATGCCAATGCTTTTTTAATAATCTGATTTCGTGACATTACAGTTTAACAAAATACAAAATATGATTCAATCTATTCTCATCACATTAGCATAAGTGGCAACAGACCATACTGGTCAAGTTCAGTAATAAAAAATATATGACTGGGCTACTAAAGGTTAACTTACGTGATTTGTGCATTTATATGTATACATACAGAACTAAATCAAAGAATGTAATCCTTACCAATTCTTTCCAATAACCTCCTTTGAAGAATAACCAGTCATGCTGAAAAAGCCGCTGCTTGCATACATGATAGGGCAATCAGGTTTAGTGGCATCGGACACAACAAATGTCTGTTGCAGCGTTGCCAAAGCGTCCTTCAAATCCTGAGATACCCTTGGGAATGCAGATCCAACTATTGAGTCCTCTGATGTCCTGATTGATTCGACTGCCAATCTCTGTGACGAATCCTTGCTTTTTTTATCGCCTCCCTCAAATGAATTTCTTGCATTCATACTTGTTCCACAGAAACTACCTTCTCCCACGTCTGTCCTCACCACCAGTCCCCATTCTGCAGTCCTTGCTGCTATGTTAGCTTCCGTTAGAATCCGATCGCCTGTTTTATTCACATTGCCATTATCTTTTCCTCCTGCTCTGGCCTTTCCATTCAAGTCTGCAATGGGAGCGTCAGCAGCTCCACTGGCCTGCTCAAATGCCATCCACTTATTGACAGACTCTCTGTCAGTGGTGGAGATCCCGAATGCTTCACCTTGCGCTTGAAGTACTTGCACTTCTACACCCTGACCCCTACTGCCACCTTGCTGTCCTATGCCTTGTTCCAGTGAAGTTTCAAAGACCTCAAGAGGTTGCCTGTGGTCTCTACTAGCAGCTCTTGATGACTCCATCCTCAATTTTCTCAGATGAATGAGTACAGAGTATTTACTCCACCACCTAATAAAATATAAAATGAAATGAGCCCCCTTTTTTTTCTTATAATAAATCAAAAAGTTACTCCCAGATAGCAGAAAACTAAGCAAAAAAGTATCGTTGACGAAAAGAGAAAATTAACAATCACAGCGTCTGCAGCATTCAACAAGTTGGCAAGAAATAAGGCTGACAATTGAACCTTGTTAAAGAAAGCAAGGAACAATTACTCTAATTGTTGACAATATCATGTACAACGATAACAAAAGAGAATAATTGAATGATGATCAGTCTTCACACAAAAAAAAAAAGCTCAGATCATTTTAATTAAAAGGGTAATCAAAAGTGAAAACAACCTGGAATTTCATTGGTTCAGAAATGCACCCGCCCAAATGCTCTGTTGGTGAACTCCAAGTACTCCAATAGTGGAGAGTAACTAACAACCAGAAGAAGAGATAGGTGAAGATAACGTTCACACCATAAATAGGACTCCCAGTCTTCTTGCCATGTAGCCAAATTACGACCGTTATTTTAGTTGTGTCCGTACGTGCGCCAACAAGGTCTTTCACTTTTTTATGGAAGCAAAAATATACCAAAAGACAAGACTGCCCTTTATATCAAGTACGTCAACCTGATTCCCTCGGCCTTCCCATTCCAGAGTAAGCCGCCTCCAAAATCTCAACCTCTCTCTCTCTCTAGCCTCTTACTTAAATAAGATTCACATTGTGCCGTGTCCTTGTACGGTGCCTCCAAGCTATAGATTGTTCCCCAATCGAATACAAAGAACCACAACTCATACTATATTTGATGGCATACGCAGACATCATAGCAAAACTCTAATACCAATTGAAATGATCAATAGATAACACTCTCACTTAAAAATGGACTTGTAAAAGATAGGTACACAAGAATTCGTGTTTACACAGATAGATCTTTACTTAACCGATCATAACACTCTCCCAACTTGCTCTCCCATCCCCTATAAACTTCCGGATGGTGACTCTATGGAAGCCCAAAAGTCTGTTTTGCTCTATCTCAGTAGCAGTAGCCCCATCTTTTCTCTTGCAAAATCTACATTATTGACAAGGTAATCATTACCAAAGGAAGGATTCCGAAAGTTCATTTAGGGGATAAAAGTAAGTTTTTTGAAGAAATCGAATGGCGAGCCCGTGTAATTTAGGACTTATAAAAGGGGTTTGTCAAATTTTTTAGGGGTTATGGCTCTGCACATCCCTTCTGATCCATCATTGACCTCTAGGGTTTTTGGAAAATTGGATAAAGGGTTTTGTTGTACAAGACCACAGCAATCGCACAGCTGATGATGAAGTAATTTTTATTTTATTTTATTTTTTTGAGAAAGACGGTGGAATAATCGATTGCTGTGTTTTTGGAATAAGACTACAAAAGATTAGGGGACCAATAAGTTCTATTACCCCACACCATTTAAGTCCCATTTGACCAAAAAAAAAAGGTGGGTGATAAAATGTCAATAATTTTGAAAAAAGAGTAATGCAATTTAGATATCAAAATATGATATAACTTGTCGAAATCATGATGTCATTTATTGTAATAATTAAATTAATATTAAATTTTAATATTTAATAGAGTTTACATTTAATTTAATGATTATAGTGAATTAAAATAATAAATTTAATTTATAAATTAAATTTAAATAACATTACTCTTGAAAAAATTCTGTCACGATGGTACGAGATTTTGCAATAGAACATAGCAAACTAGGAAGACTAATACGATTAATTCTACACACTACTTCTAAAAATGTCTAACTTTTAAGGAGTGAAATTTAACAATCAACTTGAAGAATCCTACTGCAATAATATGGGATTTTACATCTTTTTTGATAAAAGACATGTACAAAATTAAACACATAATATTTTATTAAAATAAGTCCCAAATTAAATTTCCTCCACCTTTGAAACATTTTTTTTCCGAAAGTGGGACAAATAGATAAATTTTGCATGCCTTTCTCGACAACTAGTTTTTTATTACTAAAACAAAAACATGTTAATGATAAATAATAAAAGAAAATACTCACAAAATATATATATATATATATATATATATATATATATATATATATATCTATCTTCGACGTGGGACTTAAGTTTTGCCTATACGGATTGTGTATGTCCCATAAATTAGACATGCTCTTAACATGAAAAATCACATTCTTGTTAACGTTTTACATAAGAAAAAACCAGATTAAACTATTAAAAATTATTTTTTAGTATCGTATAAAATGTCACCATAAAAAAATACGATATTATGATAAAAATAAGAGTTTTTTTTTATATCGATTCTAATATTTTTATACTATTATTATAAGATCAATCTTAATTTTCACTCATAACTAAAGTGAATTGAGTTCCAAATGATCTTTTTGTAGTCGTAATTTCTTTGCAAATTAATTATAAGAGAGTTAAGAAATATAGGGTACAACAATCTTTTTTTTTTTTTTTTTTTTTTTTTTTTTTTTTTTTTGGGTGAGAGCAGTAGAGCAACATATTTGTAGACGAGTCACCTCGAGGGGGAGGCTAATGTAACAGTTTGCCAAATGAAAGAGGGCAATTTAGTCTCTTCAAAAGTATTTTTGATCCCAAAGGATAAAGTTACCAAAAGTAAACTGAGTCAATTTCGCAAAAAGGGGTAGCAGAGTTATTTAATTATTTATGTGGCTACAATATCTCCATCTGGTACAGCCTTAGCATCAAATTTCGCCATCACTTCAATAATATCAGTCCTTTGTTAAAGGACCACTACCCTGAAGTCACGTCATACCCATATCATTGTTCAGTATATTGACCTAGGAATAATCGATATAGAGATAATATGCATAAAACATAAAAATTGGAAACTATAATTATATCTTTAAACTATAATTAAAACTAAGGACAAATGGCATACACGGTTTTTGGACCCATCTTCCATCCTGACCAAGTTTGAAGTATCACTCTCTCATCCCCCACCACCACTATGGCCTCTGGATAGGAGTATAATTTGGGCGGATTAACCCAAGTCCAACTCAAAAAAATTAAATATGAAATATATTGGAGCTTGAGTTAGAGTTTTTAATATTTAGGTTGGGTTTGGATTAAAAAACTTCAATCCGAATTCAATTTAAGCGGGCCTCGGGTTGAGCCATCGAGTTTACGGGTTGAATTCGAATATTAAAATCGGGTTCAACCCAAATTAATATTATATACATACAATTTTATCTTAGGGTTAATCTCAACTCAAGTCTGCGCCTCCCTTAGACTCTCACTCACTCTCAATCTTTCACTCTCACTCTCAGATCCTATCTCTCACTCTCAGATCTCTCTTCTATGTGCCTCCTCCCTCTCTTAACCTCCTTTGTTAGTGTCTCAGCCCTCAACCCTCTCTCCACCTCCTTCGTCTTCGTCAGAGTTTCAGCCCTCTCAATCTCTTTCGTCTTTGCCTCTAGTTATGTAAGGATTCTGGTTGTGTTCTGTACGTTTGTGGTTGCATTATCTCTCCAATTGAGTTCTTAATATTATGATTTTTATGTTAAAAACTTGATTGAAGTAACTCGAAATTAGTCCGTAAAGTAACCCAAAATCAGTTTGAAATCATTCATCCGAATTCAACCCGACCCTGCCCGAATTAAACTCGGCAGTGCTTGGGTTGAGTTTTTCAACCAGAGGTAGGGCTAGGGTTAGAATTAAGATTAAAGATTATATACTTAGGGTTGAACTAGAGTTGACTGTCCAACTCGTCCAACTCACCAGAGTTGCACCCCTACCTGCACCCAACCCATCGACCTCCCTTCATCCTTCTCTCTCGGGTCATTTAAGATGTGAGAAGAATTATTAGACAGCACAGTCACGTAATATCTAATTGAGGTTTTTGACTTGTTAAGGACTATTTTTTTATGTCTAGTACAAAAGTTTTACCTCTGATAAGAATTAAACTCATTGATTTTCTAAAGAAGTTCTAGGGTAGTTAAAGGTATTTTGAGGCTTAAAACGGTATACTAAATGAGGTTTTTTTATTTTTAATATTATTTAAAAAAAATTAATTTTTTTTAAGTAAGAGAGGATGATGTGATATTTTGTTTTTGTTTTTTAAGAGAGAGAGAATAAATGTTAGTAAATATAAGTTGACTTTTAAATTTTTTTGTATTTGTTTTTAAAATTTTTGATTTTTGAATTTCTAATAATATGAATTGAATTGTAAACCCAAATTCTTGAAATTATAATTTTTTAATTGGACTTAATTTTTTCGGGGCCTTTTTGTAAGACCTAACATTTTCATAAATTTAAATTTTTTATGTGTACTAGTTATGTATCTAAAATTATAAGACCTTTTAAAAATTTGGGACCTAAAGCCCATGTTTTTTTTTAATAATATTGGGCCGACCCTGAGAAGATCAAAAGTTTTGATCATCCGAATTAATTCTTAGAAATTGTTATTTGTTGTCTTGGATTTTTTGTTCTAATTCTCGTCCTTTTTATTATTTGTAAACTCTTGAGTTTATTGGTGCAATAGATCACACACGTTGTCTCTAAGTTACAACAATTCAATACACTAATTCGAAAAGTAGAAATTTCACACACATACATTACTTTTACTAAAAAAGGTATAATACCAATAAGAGAAGAAAATGAACACTAAAAGAGAAAGAACAACAAAAAGTAAGCAGAGAATTGGTTTGAAATGGGATCATATCGTCTAAGCAAGGTCTCTATTTATAGGTGAACCAGCCTTGGGGTTTAAATGTGAAATGAAATTCAAAATTCCAATTTTTGAAATCTAGTATAAATTGCAAAATTAATTATGAAATGTATAACGGAATTTTCTGAACGAAATTGAAAATTCATTTGTCTGGAATGAATGAGAATAGTGCCACAATTTGAAAATAAAAAAAGTAGTAACATTTAAACACAAAATAATAATAATAATAATATTCAAAACACAAAAAAAAAATATTGAGTATTAATAT